TTTTTTTGTACTGAAATACTTAGATTTTACCCAACACTTGCCATCAAGTAATTGAAGCTAACCCACACAAGCATGGAAAATGGCCATAAAATGATAAAATGTTGTTGATGGTGATAATATCTCAAAATGGCCATGGAACAGTTAAAAACCTTTAGTTTTTGTGTGAGGTGGCAACTGTACCCATCCCGAGCACAAGTCAATTGGACAGAATTCAACCACCACAAATCTCAATTCTCATCTCCTTCAACTTGCTGATCTACTTTACTTTTTACTTTTATCCTCTTCACCACTGATCGGCTTGTTAGCTGCTTGGGCGATCGGTCACGTCTCTGTTACGCATTGTTGGCAAGTACTGGGCATGCAACGGCTCCTGAATGTACTTGAATCTCCTCCAGTGTTGGTCAAGTCTCGTCTTGAAAGAGCTCACACTCGGTGCCGTCAAAACACTTTCTGGTAGATTGTTCCAAGAGTTCACAACTCTCACTCTGAAAAAGTTTGCCCTCACAGTTTTCTGGACTTGCGGCTTTTTCAATCTTGAGCTGTGACCCCTTGTGGGGCGAGCGTCCGCCAGCTCCAAGTAAGGACACTCGACTGAGTAGTGCCCCTTGAGCTGCTTATACACCTCAATTAGGTCGCCCCTTGCCTGTCTGTAGTATAAGCTAGGCAAGTTCAAGCGCTCCAATCTCTCAGGGTAGTTGAGGTGCCGAAGTGCAGGTACCAGTCTGTCTGGTGGCCCTCATTTGAACATTTTCAACCAACTGACAGTCCTAGCATATCTTGAGGACCAGACGGGGTGACAGTACTCCAGATGGGGAAGCACTTCACTCTTGAAGATCGTTACGAGGGAAGGACCGTTTAGATATCTGAACGACCTTCTTATAAGACCCAATAATTTATTTGCTGATTTACCTTTTTCTCGCAATGGCCCGAGAACTTCAGCTCATTGTTAACATACACACCTAAGTCCTTCTCACATTCAGTCTCAAATAGTGCAGTTTCTTCCTCCCATTGGGACATATGATACGCCTCTTTACCGTTGGTACGCCCCAGGTGCATCCTCTTACACTTCGTGACATTGAATCTCAGTAGCCATTTCTTCGACCATTCTTGGAGCTCACAGAGATCCTTCTGCAGCTCTTCACAGTCCACTTGGTTCTTGATTTCCCAAATAACTTGGTGTCATCGGCAAACATTTGTATGGAGGAGTGTAAAACGTCAGGTATGTCATTTATGAAACAAACAAACAACAGCGGGCCCAATACACTGCCCTGTGGTACCCCGCTTGTGACAGGTACAGATGATGATTTCGTGCCATTAATCACCACACTGCTTGTGGTCATGTTGAAAGTCTTCTATCCTTGCTAGGACATTTCTCCGAATTGCGTACCCTTCCAGTTTGATTTTCAGCCTTTCATGGGGTACACTGTCGAAAGCCTTGGCAAAATCTACATTAGTTACCAGTCTGTCATTAACATTACTTAAACTCCTGTGGAATATCACCACTACACAATGCACCACTTGAATTACCAAGTAAACTGCAAGTGTTAAAAATTGCTGGAAGATGATTATGTTCTCAAGCCAAGTTTGATTGGCTGAGAAGCTCGTCTGAGAAAAAGGTGAGCCAACTCTGCAGAAAAAATTAGTTGTAACCTGCATTCACAAGCTTTTCTGATCGTCGTAAGACATAAGCCCAGGAGAGGGAACAGCCGTCCCCACAAGGGAAAAGAATCATTGTCTGAAATCTTAAAGGGAAACTTGATAAACATTTCAAATTTGGGTAGATAGAATATTTTTTTGTGGATGTTGTAACTTGGAGGCTAAAATTCAGCAGATAGCTGATGTTAATAGACAGTACACACAATGTCTGGCTGTATTTGACGATTTAGTAAAAATTATTTAACATTTAGTCATTCACTTCAGTCAATCAATATATACAATACAGCAGTAAGTTCATATACAACACAGTGAAGAACTGACCTTCTTCCAGGTGCACCTTTTTCTGCCTTCTGACGAATACCAGGTAAACCATTATTACCAGTTAAACCATCCAAACCATCCACACCGTCATCACCTCGCTCACCCTACAAAAATAAATAGACACTCTAAATAAAACAATGACACGTGAGGTGGTAAGAAATGAATAAGTCATAAATATCAACATGGGGCTCTGGGAGTGTGATCTGCACTGCAAATTTTTTTAACTCCTTGTATACAGTACAGCAAGATACCGTGTTTCTCAGCATTTATGTTATTACTTGGATTGAACATAAATGAACTACACTACACAAGAAACTGCTATTAATTCAATTGCAATTTGGGAAGTCCTTTGATTACCTCAGGGAATTATGACCTTGCTTTGACAGCCATTCCCACCCAGTGAGTAAAATCTTTAAATTGTAGAATACTGAATATGATTAACCACAATCTTTAAATGTAACTATTAATTTATACTAAAGTAACCTTCTAGATTAACTAATTAGCTTCACTTTGGTAAAAAAGAAATTCTGTCTTGCATATTTAGAACACATTTTATAAACACAGACACTCCCAGTTTATGGAAAGGTTCCATTCCTGGACCCTGTCTGTAAGTCAACTTTTCTGTAAACCAAAAATGACCCTTCCATAAGGGAAATATGTAATGTACCCCGTAGTGAATCACAGATGGCATCTCACAAGGGGATGCGCTCAGCCGCCTTACGCATAATCCTCCGCATAAAGTGTTGTTATGCCGTACTAGTTACCTTCCGTAATAACAGAAACTCTTGCACAGCCCGAAAATTTTATAATGGGACTTATGGGAGGCATTCTGTATCCTTGAATGTTTGTAAATCGAGTGTTCTGTAACCCGGGGAGTGTGTCATAATATATCAGGAATATTTAGATACTCATTCTTATGTCTGGGTGTTTACAAGCACACCAGAGAAGAGCCTATATGTACAGTACAGTGAAACCTCCATATAACAGACTTCTCTATCCATATAATCCAATAGATGGGGATTTCATAATATTCTAATGGACCCTCGATATAATGGACCTACATCTGTATATAGTTCATTAAATAGAGGTTTCAATGTAAATGTATACAGTATATGGCCATAAAAGAGTGATGATGATAACATGAACAAATATGTATACAGCCTCACCACAGAGCATTAGATTGTTTTCTGTGATGATATTAATCTGGCATTATTAATTTCTGAATATCCCAGAGGTACAGATGACCAGTAGTTACACATCCTACTGTATATTTTTGTCATAGATGTAGTACAGTACTGTAACCTACTGAATAGTCTTGACTTTTGTTCTGCATCCTTTACCTCTACTTATGTCTGCTTAATAAAACAATAAGATAAAACTAAACCTTTCTTCCAGTCAGTCCTCTGGCACCATCGTAGCCGTTATCACCTCGTTGGCCTTTAATCCCGGAAACTCCTGGGTACCCGTCACTTCCTTGTCGACCCTTCAGTAGTGGTCTAGGTATGAGATCACCCCTCTCTCCTTTTCTGCCGGGTCTTCCAGAAGATCCTATAAATAACCTCTTCTATACAAAAGTACTTATATTAACACAAAACTATTAATTTCATAATCTGTTAAGACGTCGTTAGTTTATGTAATTTAAAAGTTTTTATTGTTGTTACAGTTCATTCATATTAATACTGTCAGACTGTAAACATGCATTCTACTATGGTACTCCCTATCCACAACAAGGATCTAAGTGTAGTTTACCACTGCTGCATCACCTATCAGCAGCACATACTTCCCTAAAAATCACTCGCTATTCATTTATGTCCACTGCGGCTTCCTGGACATCCACCCTCTCACTTCAAGTACATCCCTCACCCCATCTTTTCCTTTTCTTGGTCTTTCCTTGTCCCTTCCATCATCCATATCTGAATTATTTACCCCATCCTTACATCTCCATGGTCTTCCCCTTCCATCCCTTCCTTGTAACACTCTTTTGCTTCTCTTTATTCATCATGTCTGTGCCACCTCAACCTACCTAGTGACACTCTTTGCATAACACTGGTCTGTATTTCTTATTCTCTGCATTTTATTTACCCAACCTAATGCTTTAAAGTACAATGCTTCATTTTCTTGCTTCTAATTTCCTCTTTCTTCTTGCATTCAGGTTTCATTCTTTTAGCTGTAATGCATCATAATGTTGGCTTAGTAATCCCCATCTCTGTCTCCTTTGATAAAGTTTTTTCTCTTCAAACAATTCTTAAGCTACTTATTACTTTCTGTCTGATATTCTGTAGTTCTTTGCATCACTTCTCTTTCAACTTGCTATAACTTACACTCCCAAATATCTGAAATAAAGCCCTTCCTCCAGTCTCCACTCTCTTTCTGTTTAAGCCAACCTTTATATATCCCTGATTGCTTTTAGGGGTTGATTGGTTCCATTCCTGTTGAAACTTAACTTTGCATGAAAGTGGCGGAAAAATTTGTGCTGTAGCAGCTGTTGTTGTGAGTCAGATAGATGCCCCTGCATTGTATTATGTCACTGTGAATTGATGCATTTGATTTGGGTTGGGGATTACTGTACATCCTTCAGATGGAGCTGATATAGATTCAGGAGCATTTGATTTTTTTTTTTCTCTATGGTACTGTACTAGGGAGAATCCATTGCATTTTATAAAGACAGTATGTTGGCTATGACCTACTTTAGTAACCAAGGATCTTCTCAGTCACTTCCCATATGGAAGTCTATGAAGAATTACTTTATGTTACTGTAAGCTGTGTTGCCAATGGGTATGATGCTGAAACTTATGACCTTTGAGCAGATGCTTTATTCAGAAATGTGGTAGGGTATTAACCTCTGAACAAGGGTTGCCTGAAGAATCCTTTTCTTGGATAACTCCAGGAGTGGTTCCTTTCTGGGTTTGTTTATTATGGCAGATAGTAATTCCAAATTACCAACATTTGTTTCACTTATTGCCAAGGAGAGCACCCATGATGTGGAAGCTTTCTCCTTAGACTGAAACACAAGAGAACAACTACAGTATATTTATTTCCATGCTTTTCAACTGATTGGTAAGACAATTTCAGAATGTTCATGTACCTCAGTGATAACTCCTTTCCTTTCTCGCCTGGCAAGAATAGGTGTGGTAGGATTTTTTTTTATTGTATTCATCCTTAGTTTTATGATTATCAAACACAGGTCTTCTGAGTTGACTGTGTCTTTCATTTTAGTTTTGGTTACATGTTAGTTCCTTTACTTTCTCCCTGACCTGCACAGTACATACATAGTTCTCCTACAGGGGGAGACATTGTCCACTGCTCTGTCTCTTCAGGACATGTACTTTTTGCTGTTGTGTGGAGCTCTTGATTCTGAAGGATATTCTTTTCTATAGGAGTCAGGATAAACTAAGCAAGAACTGAATTCACAATGCAGTGAATGATATGGGTCATCTTTCATAGTCAAGCTTAGTATTGTATTATGAGAGCAGCCAGGCTGAGAGCAAATGCTAGAAATGGAAGACCGATCTTGAAATCCCCCCCTTTTTTTTATAGAACCCAAAGCCAGGATGCTCCCTCCCTCCTTGTGACTAGTCAGCAAAAGCTGAAACACAAGTAATTATTTGGGTTCACAGTCGATGAAGCTGGCTGCTGTTTTAATGAGGATTGAGAGCTAGTCTGATGGTCACTCATCTACTTAAACTTTCAGTTATTCAGTGAAACCAATTTGTCATTTGAGGCCAAAGGCACAAAAGGAAGAGATGTGTAATCAGTTTACTCAGAGGATTAACAGTTTAACTAAAGCTGATGTTAGAATGTACTATGTGATGGACTCAGGGATCCTTCAGTAAGCTGCTGAGTACAGTATTAGGAGAGCTGCTTCACTGAAGTTCTGCTAGAAGAGATTTCAGGATCAATCCTCCATTCCTGTTCATTTACCATGACATATTATATTTGTAGGGTGCAGATGCTCTGCCTTGCACAGTGAACATGTGGGCTAACCAACAAAAATTAACTAATTGTATTAGTTAGCTAAAAGTTAACCAAAAGATTGATTAGATACATACCAAGGTCAAAAGATGCAAAAAATATAAATTATAATGACCTGCTTTTATTATGATGTGTTAGTATTCAGCAAGATGTGTGATGCCCCTTCTATGTTCATTGTGAGGTGTAATAAAAGAAGCAATAATTAACTTGGAAAAAAGAAAGACAAAAAGAAATGTACAAACAATAATTAACTTGGAAAAAAAATGAAAAAACAAAATATAGTGTATAAAACATATATCATATAAGATTCTACAGAATGTATATGAATTGAAAAAAAAAGATTCACTTTTTTTCTTCAGATATATGTACAATTCTTAATGATTGTGAGCCATTATTTCTTGGAGCAACAGATTTAGGGAACAAAGAAGATTACTAGTACAGTACAGTACAACTAATTACTGATACAAAAACTATTGAGCTTTAATACATCAAACAAAGCTTACCTGCAGATCCTGGAACACCATTCAGTCCTCTTGATCCTGGAAAGCCAGGTTTTCCGGAGAGACCCTTTGGACCCCGCGGACCCACGAGACCTGTTGGACCTACCCGTCCCCTAAATCCATCTGGACCAGGGTCACCGGGGTCTCCTCTATCACATGGTCTTCCTGCATTTCAAAATTATGAAGATTAAATTAGCAATTTCATCTTTCTTTGTTTTCCTACATCATAAATTTTAATGTTTTAATTTTTGTACAGTACTGTATCACTAGACTTACTTGGCGTTGAAATACAATCATCTCCTTTAACTCCTTTACGACCCGGTAAGCCATTATGACCATTAGCGCCCATCAGTCCTGGTACACCTGCAGAACCTGCGAGACCCTTAGGTCCTTTGGGTCCAACAATTGCACGACCTTGGCCGGGGATACCTTTTATACCTGAGATAGATTTTTTTTTTATACACCGATATGTTTTGTGTTATATATACTTTTATAATATATGTTACAAATAGTTTTATAATTTACCAATTCAACTTCTTGCTTTTACTAAATGTGTGTAATAAAAATATGCTTTGATATTCATCCATTAAAAGTAAACACTTGCAATCACTGGTCATGTAAAATGCTTACTGAGCAATACTGTACACAACAGAAGGAACACTCAAACCATCATTCTCTTATTGTCAGTAAAACAATCCATTTGTATATAATTGGTTCAATATGTAAAAAATAAATATTATAGAAATCAGGAGAGAAGCTCAAAGTTAACAAGTGAACGTACAAACCTCTACGTCCAGATAGACCCGTCGGGCCTGGAAGTCCATTAACCCCTGGTCGACCAGGACGCCCATCTAAACCTTTACTGCCAAAAGCAGGATCACCTGGGAAACCCTTCAAACCAGGAATACCTGGTGGACCAGTTATGCCACGAGGCCCAGATCTTCCAATAAGACCAGGATAACCTGAAAAGATTCACATTTTGGCATTAGGATAAAGAGATCCGGTGGATGCAAGAAGGATAACACTATTTGTGCTACCATCACACTCTTCTGAAAGCAACTACTGTACAGTATGAAGCAGAAAAAATTTAATAAAATTGCACCATAGACTAATCTCAAACATCATAGTGAAAAAATAAAGCAGAGGAATATTTTCTGACAAGAATTACAAGTCAACAAACAAAACAACAGTACAAGTCACACAGATTTTAGTAAAGTGCAGTATAATATTACTGTAAACTCTGGTTTTCCAAGGAACTAAAAGGCAATTTTGCCAGTGAACATTCCTTGCCAGTTGTTCCCACCTTGTGGGTTGGGTTTAGGAAGGACATCCAACTGTAAAACTTTGCTTCAACATGTCTGACCTTATTTCCCAACAGCTGACATTAGTCAATCTCAGCCATAAAACATAGATGATTATGACAGGCCTAGAGAACTGTTAATGTAGATCCCTGTGTTCTAGTGACTAACTTCAAGACAATCCAAAATGTTTAGCTATTCTCTCTTTCTCCCACAATACTTGTATAAACTCGTTATTACAGTATTGCCATATTTTTAAGGATTAGTTGCGTAATCCATGCAAACTTTTTTTTTTGCCCGAGTTTGAAAGTCATTTTGTTTCCAATTGCCATATACCCGGGTGATCCAAGCCAGTAAGAGTTTGGCTGACACCATCATTATTTAGATTGATTCATAAGGCACAAAATCATAAAGCACAGTATATTTTACCCCCCAAATAATTATGATTTTGCATTAAAAACAACTTCTCATGTTTTATAGAAAGGAACCAACAATTTTTACTAATAAAAAATATCCTCCAACAAAAAATAAATAAATATTGTAAAACGTGCTCTTATAGTCGTCACTACATAAAGTTAGACCAACGTACCATCATCTCCAGGTTCACCCTTCTCAGAGCGGCCTGGTGCTCCTGGTGTTCCATCCTCTCCATCTATGCCAGGCTGGCCTGGTGAACCACGTACTCCTATACCTCCGGGTCGACCATCAAACCCATCAGAGCCGGTAAGCCCTCGTGGGCCAGGAGGACCTTGAGGGCCAGGAGGACCCCTGTAGATTATAGTATCTGCTGGGTCAAATAATCCAGGCAGTCCTGCATCCCCCACTGGGCCTGGACGACCATCAAAACCAGCCACTCCATTTTCACCCTAGAATATATAATTCTGTAATTATTTCAGATTTTCTCCTTGTTAGGTGAATTCTACTACAGTAGAACGTCGATATAACACGAGATAGGTTCCAAGAGAGGTCGCTTTAAACCGAATTCGCACTAAATCGAAGTGTTGTTTCAATGGCATAATTTAGTTTGATACTTGAGAGAAACACAAAATACTAAAAAGACTGAGAGTCTACCCAGATGCACGTCAGCCGACCTCCTAAAATAAACAAAACTTTGTTTTTTGTAGTACAGGTATTATGTTAAAGCAAACACTCATAAATCATCACAGCTAAAATTAAGGGATGCAAAATGGTCTGTTTACAGTCCCAATACACTGCTCTGTGGTACCCTGCTTGTGTCAGGTACACATAATGAATACTTCCTATTAATCACCATACACTGCTTGTGGTCATGAAGAAAGTCTCCGATCTGAACCACAGTACAGTACAGATAATTAAAAAAATTATTTTTGCTCACCCTAATAACTGGGACTTACAGGACAACCACTTGGTAAGAAGATACAGTAATATGGGAGATGTTATCGCCACGCACAATTGTGCGCGCCAACCACAAATAAAGTGAAGAGACTGTTTACAACTCTGAACAGCTTACTAAGCAAGATGGAGCTGGTAGCAGCTGTATGACTGCCTGAGGGACAGACTATCGCCGTCTACTGTAGAGGCAACATCTTGATTCTCGCTCACGACAGTTTCCCGCAGAACATTATATTTGTTCTCATTGGTCTAACCCTAGACCCCAAAACGTGAGTGTGGTTGTAAACTGTTGAATCCTCTGAGAACTCTAAATAACTTTAATAAGTGTAATTATGTACTGTACTGTATATTGATCATATTATTCAATCTGTGTATCCTGATGTATCAGTAGTTGTTACATAAAGAGTTATATTTAACAGGTTATGTACTGTATATTGAACCCTCACTTTACACGGTCAATTGAACCCACGGCGGCCCGCGTAAAGTGAACAACATAACATATGGGATTAATTGAAATAGAGACCGGGCCGACCCCCAAACTCCACTTTTTCAGACACAATACCTACGTTGTAGTAAAAATAACTTCTTAAATTTATGATGGTATGCACACACAATTAATAATTAAGAGAAATATCAATAATATTAGATTTTTAACATTAGTAGAAAAGATGGCTGGGCACACGGGGATGGGGGGTTGGTTCCGAAGCAGAGGGCAGATTATTGGCCCTCACCTGTATCACTTGTATCAATTGTATCACTATCCACCACAGAGGCTTGCAGGGCCTCTTTGTCAAACCCCTCAAAGTCCATATAAGTCCATATCCTCACTATCATTATCACTATCACTGACTTGGGCCGGCTGTGGTGGGTGGCGGGTGAAGAACTCGGTAATGTTTTGATGACTGGGCGACCTTGTGCACACCCTGCTCGCGCCGCTCTCCGCGTAAAAGGGTACACACCGCGGAAAGTGAGCATTCCGGTTTCGGCAGGGTTCCGCGTAAACGTGGAAACGCATAAAGTGGGACCGCGTAAAGCGAGGGTTGACTGTCTATTGATCATATTATTCAATCTGTGTGTCCTGGTGTATCAGTAGTTGTTTCATAAGAGTTATATTTAACAGGTTATGTACTGTATATTGATCATATTATACAATCTGTGTGTCCTGGTGTATCAGTAGTTGTTTCATAAGAGTTATATTTAACAGGTTATGTACTGTATATTGATCATATTATACAATCTGTGTGTCCTGGTGTATCAGTAGTTGTTTCATAAGAGTTATATTTAACAGGTTATGTACTGTATATTGATCATATTATACAATCTGTGTGTCCTGGTGTATCAGTAGTTGTTTCATAAGAGTTATATTTAACAGGTTATGTACTGTATATTGATCATATTATACAATCTGTGTGTCCTGGTGTATCAGTAGTTGTTTCATAAGAGTTATATTTAACAGGTTATGTACTGTATATTGATCATATTATTCAATCTGTGTGTCCTGATGTATCAGTAGTTGTTATATGTGAATTGTATTCAACAGGTTTTGACCGAATTATACTCATTGTGTCAACGACAAGGGTCATATTGTCCGGCACAAACCAAAATCGCTCCTGTGAGCGGTTACAGGAGAGTCATCAGTTTTTTCATATTAGCTATAAAACTTCTCACCAAAAGCAACACTTTCAGGGTCTGGTCACCTCTCCATCAGCAGAAACATTCAGCTCCAGTCATCTTGTGGACATCTAAGTACAGTATACAGTGCACACATTATGTAATAGCATTACAATACAGGTACACTACACACCTTATGTAAGCTTCTAAAATTAAAAGAAGTAGTACAGTATAGTACTGAACTGTACTTGGCTGCCCACAATATAACTGGGATAATGTCCAGGGTAGTGGTAATACTCATTAAATTTGCATAGATTATTATCAACATTGAAACTAATAGGGGGGCCCTTGAAGAGGCAGGAGGGGATAACAACAAATATTAATGGGCAAAGTTGAGGGTTGGAGAGCCAGGGAAAGGCAGAGATGGGTGGATGAATGAAATTAAAAAATGGGTCCCCAGAGAGATACAAAACCTTAAGAGGATTGGTAAAAACAGCCCGAGAATGTTTAGAGTGGAGGACTATAGTCGGCAACCCTCAGATATGAGGTCGGTGCTCCAATTGATTGATTGATTGATTGATTAATTAATTGAAGAACACTTATAATTGCAATCTGGCCCTCAGACCTTAAAAGCTTCCCCACCCCTGATGTAAAGAGAAAAAAAAATTACAGGAATAAACTTGTAGGGCTTACCTTAAAACCTTTTTCACCAGGATACCCAAGTGCTCCAGGTGCTCCCTTAAAGCCCTTAGGCCCTTGCACACCCCTCTGACCAACGCGACCATCCTTGCCTTTCTGCCCTTCATTGCCAATTTCACCCTTCTCACCTTTCTCACCAGGTGAACCATAAAAGCCCACACTACCAGGACTACCAAGTATACCAAATGGACCCTGAGCACCCTTGGCACCAGGCTCACCCTTAAAGCCCTTGAAGTCAAACACAGGTTTTCGCTTCCTACGGAGGACAGAAATTTTTTAATTAATTAAGATTTGTCCATAAATATTATCTTCAACAATTATGTCTACATCCATAAATGATTATACACATCGAGCTTAACAGAACCATTGACAGAATAATAATAAAAGTACATGTGTGAAAGAAAAAGAGATAATGAGTTAAGTACAGTATCTACATGTTCTCATCATGTGTTGTACAATGAAAAGAGGAATGAAGGCTCAAATATAACAAGAATGTTTAGTGCTTGGTGCATGTTGATTTTGTAGGGTAAATAAATGTGCGAAAGGGACCCAGAGAGAACAGTTCCAACCATTCACCAAAAGGAGTGGGTGTGGGTCTAAGAAAAAGAATTAACTGACCACTGTCTGCATTATAGAATGCCAAAAGCATCAAACTTGAGGTTGGCATTGCTGAACTAATGAGATAGAAAGCAAAGGCGATGCATGCAAGTCATTATTAATGCAAATATTGGTCAAAAAGTTGTCCCAGTTCTCCAATATTTTTACTGTTATAATATTTTATAAGCACCAGAATAGAAAACATCCTACAAGAGTCTTCTTTATTTTCTTATAAGATCTGAGAAAAAAAATTCTTAAAGGGGTAATGGTCATACAGTGGTATAACACCAATACCAATATCTATCACTATTGTGTCCTGGGTTGAAGCCCCAGCCCAGGACAGATCAGAGAATGGTGTTATTTAGTGTGACCTTACCATATATTTTAAGTTTTCTCTGGTTACTCCAGGTTCCTCCTGACTATCACTGGATAATAAAGGTCATAATAAAGTAACAAACGACAGGCCCAATGACTATTAAACTGATAAGTGGTGAAATGATAACTAAATAGAAATTGTCAGTCTGGGTTGGCTGTCAGGGAGGAACAAAAGAGGGATGAGTTAACTTTGGTGCTTCTCTTCCATAACAATGTCCATGTGGTTTATCACTGTCATTTCTCACAACTTAGCTTCAACTATCAGCAGCACATCCATCCTCAAATATAACCTGACACTGTGCTTTCTGCTTTCTTGACATTTATGTAATCTAATGCTTCCTAGATCTAGTCTCTCTCTCTCTCTCTCTCTCTCTCTCTCTCTCTCTCTCTCTCTCTCTCTCTCTCTCTCTCTCTCTCTCTCTCTCTCTCTTACAGCATCACTGCCTTCACGGGTCATGTTCTTGTGTTTTCCAGCCATAAAATAGGACTTAACAAACTCATCCTCTCTTTTTCCCTACTACACAGAAGTACCCCCCTGTATCATGCATTGTTAAAGAGGAGCCCCAGACACCTACACATCTCTCACTCTTGATGAATCACCCTTTTCTCCCTTTTCTCCTGGAGCGGCTAAAATGGGTTGTGGCTGGTCTCCTGGTTCACCAACCATACCCTTGGCTCCTTCATCACCATGATGTCCCTGTGTACAAATAAGAAGGACGTTGAGAAATAGTGATACAATTTTTTTCACTTAACGTCATTTCAATTAAAAGTCGTGGTTTTCAGGAACCTAACAAGGACGTTAATAGTGGGAATTGGTGTATAGTACCTCCGAAATTTTCCTTCCTTACAACAATTTCAATTCTCACAAAGTTGAATTGCAACCAAGAATTATGAATGACTTCAAAGACATTGTAAAATTATAAATGTCCTCACCTTCAAGCCAGGTATTCCGTAGTCACCCCTTGGTCCCCGTGGTCCTGGTGCCCCTCTATAGCCTCTGAGTCCTTCTTGACCCGGCTCTCCTTGATCTCCCTTGATGCCTCTTGAGTTGCTGCCTCCTTCACCTGGTTCTCCAACAGGTCCCACACTACCAGAAGGACCTTGTACAACCAACCCAAATTGTTAGTTCTCTTATTTGGCCAATAACAAATTAATACTTTACATGCTGTGTGCATGTTAAAAGCAATTTATTCTGCCTTTCTTTCTAAAGACAAATTCAAAATACTGTACTGAACTGTACATCACTTCTGAAAAAATTATTATTCATACAGTAACTAACGTTGTAAAACTACATCTCCTTAACTGCAACGTGCAGTATTGATTTGGACAAACATCATGCTAATTTTTTGACTTAAATGCAAAAATATCATAAAATTATAAACTTAACCAAAGTACATTATAATTATTCTCAAAATGCCAGTTACCTATATTAAGAAATTAACAACCGGTCTTACAGCTTTTATCTCTGGGAATCTACCATACTGTAATTGGCAGTATCTATGTTGTATTGATAGTAAAGAAGAAAGCATCTTACCTGGCGGCCCACTAAGACCAGGAGGCCCTGGGACACCTGACAGGCCTTTGGCACCATCTGTACCATTACAGCCAGGGGGGCCATCATTCCCAGCTGGGCCCTCCAACCCAGGAAGACCAGGAATACCAGCAGTTCCTTGAAATCCTGGATAGCCCATGTCTCCACGAAAGCCTTTTTCTCCTACTGCACCATTTTCTCCATAGTCACCAACACCTCCTCGAAGGCCTGAGGATATTTTATATTTATGTACATGTTTATTTATATGATTTTACAGCAGCTTTTGTTCATATTTTAGTAATTATATTTTTCATATTACAGGTACTGTACTGGGGTTCCACAAAAATTCTAGCCACGGTTTTCTCAAGTTTATTTCAAGAATTTTCCTATTGTACGAATTTCTTCAGATTTCAGTACGTACCCAATTTTTTCAGCTTATTATATGTTCAGTAATGTACATTTTAATAATCTAATATTGTAGTCTATTCAGAAGTCAAGTACATGTGATAAGTCTGTAATAATAAGTAGGAGACAGAGTTTTCTATCTGATACCACTACTGTACTGTATTGTACCAAATCACTGTACCAGACAACTGAAACTGCTCCTTTACCATTTGTTATGCTGTACTGTACTGTACAGGTATATAGACACTCCCTGGGTTACAGATTTTTTACTTTATGGATACTCTCCTCTACGTCCATTTCTGGGTTGCGGACAATTATCCATTGTTAAATTTGTTACGGACATCAAGTAGTACAGAAGAGACCCAAAGGGTAGGCATAAGGCTGCTGAGTGCTGGGAGAGATGTCCTGTAAGGTGTCATTTTGAGCTCAGTCATTTTGTTAGATTGCGACAGTGCATAACCTCCATACATCATCTCCGAATTTTCTTTTGTAAATTGCCCTTAATTGTGTTGTAAAATGACTGGAAAACACTCACATGATTGTAAGAGTGCATGATCTGGTTGTAAACATGAAGTAGTAGATCTTATTCACTTCTGGCTGTGCCAATACACTTGTTATGTAAAAATATCCACACTACCCATATTAAGTGTGTAATGCACTATCAAATCAGTTCATTTTCAGTGTGTGGTAGTCTTGTTAGCACTAACCCAAACTGAAGCACACATTACACTTGGGGGCAGTAATAGTGCCCTTCTTGCCTCAAGCAAATTATCATGAATGAACTGCTGGCCAGGGACCCTCAAAATCCCATATAATTGTTCAAAAGTAGCAAGAAGAATTATAAGTGATAGTTGCAGTAATCATCTTGGCAGACATAACTTATAGGTTAAAGCCCTTATCAGATCAGTGTATAATACTGTAATAGATTCAGACAAAATTTCACAACTACAGTTCTTTATACAGCTATTTTATTTGTGGACAATTTCCTGGACTTCCCATAACAAGATCTTTTTCAGGATTTTCCATGGCTTTGGAAACTGTGGTTATGTCAAGACAATTATTTGAAATACTTGTCCTACCTTGGGGTCCTTCTTCTCCTTGATCTCCTGGGATGCCAGTTGAACCCTGGAGGCCAGGGATGCCTGGGGCTCCAAGAAAGCCCTTCTGACCCTCACACAGACAGGTGTAGCAGTTCAAGCATACCTGTAATAATAAACCAAACAATAATATTTAAAAACACTGAATTTGTACTTCGTATTTACAGTAAATAGGGACTGTACTGTACTGTACTAATGACAAGTGGGCTATGTATATGGGACTACTGTACTTTGCTTGAGTGATTGATGGTTATTAAGAGTGATTATAAAATTAACCAATGATCAAGTGGAAGATATTAAAAAGGTGTTGTAAGATGAGGTTGCCACTGTGTTATTATAGGTGATGACACCAAAACTATTGGTTCTGGTTACCATGGAGTGCCAGCTCTAATTTTGTTTTGTTTTAAAGTTATTTTTTAGAGCCTGGGTTTATAATAATAATTTATGACTGTTGTAATAGTCATCACTTATTTCATTCTTCAACTGAGAAAAAACCCTTTGTACAGGTATGTGCACGCCAAGTAGCCATTTAGAGGAAAGAGTATGATTGCCCATCCAAATGAGGTATGTGGTCCAGAGGATGTTTGAGAGTTTGTCTTTTCATTAGTTTCACTCAGTCTGTACCCTGGCCAATAAGAAACACAGTATAGTATTGATACAGTTAACAAGATAAACACTGAGAGATAGAGGAGCAATAAACTAGAGATGATATATACTGAGTTAATATTAACCACAAGTTTATTTCACTTTCAGATTAAACTAAAGCTGGAAGTTGATCTTAAGGTGAAACAGGCTGGGAGCTAATAATCAGGTAAAATAAACTTTGGGTAGTCCTCAGGTAAAATAAGCTGGGGTTAATAATCAGGTAAAATAAGCTGGGGAGGGGGGGATGGTGTTTCAAAATACAGTATGTGAAAATGGTTCTAGTAGGCCGGACAAACTGCTTGCCTGATCAGTGGTGGAAAGTGAAGCTAGGATAAGCAATGACCCTTAAGAGAAAAGTGAATATGTGTGGATGGTTACTGGGCATGTGTGGATATTTACTGGGCATGTGTGGATGGTTACTGGGCATGTGGATGGTTACCGGGCATGTGTGGATGGTTACTAGGAATGTGTGGATGGTTACTGGGCATGTGTGGATGGTTACTGGGCATGTGTGGATGGTTACTGAGCATTTGTAGTGGTTACTGAGCATGTGTGGATTGTTACTGAGCTTGTGTGGATGGTTACCGGGCATGTGTGGATGGTTACCAGGTATGTGTGATGGATACTGGGCATGTGTACTAGTTACTGGGCATGTGTGGATTGTTAATGGGCATGCGTCGATGGCTAGTGGGCATGTGTGGATTGTTATTGGGCATGCATGGATGGTTACTGGGCACCTGTGATGGTTACTGGGTATGTGTAGATGGTTACTAGGTATGTGTGGATGGTTACTGGGCATGTGGATAGCTACTGGGCATGTGTGGTAATTACTGGGCATGTGTGGATGGTTGCTAGGCATGTGTGGATGGTTACTAGGCATGTGTGGATGGTTACTGGGCATGTGGATAGCTACTGGGCATGTGTGGTAATTACTGGGCAGATGTGGATGGTAACTGGGCATGTGTGGATGGTTACTGGGCATATTTGGTGATTACTGGGCATGTGTGGATGGTTACTGGGCATGTGGATGGCTACTGGGCATGTGATGGTTGCTGGGCATGTGTGGATTGTTACTAGGCATGTGTGGATGGTTACTGGGCATGTGGATAGCTACTGGGCATGCGTGGTAATTACTGGGCAGGTGTGGATGGTTACTGGGCATGTGGATAGCTACTGGGCATGTGTGGGTGGTGCTGGGCATGTGTGGGTGGTTACTGGGCATGTGTGATGGTTACTGGGCATGTGCGGATGGTAATTGGGCATGTGTGGATGGATACTGGGCATGTGTAGTGGGCATGTGTGGATGGTTACTGGGCATGTGGATGGTTACTGGGCATGTGTGAATGGTAAGTGGGCATGTGTGGATGGTTACTGGGCATGTGTGGATGGTTACTGGGCATGTATGATGGTTGCTGGGTATGTGTGGATGGTTGCTGGGCATGTGTGGATGGTTACTAGGCATGTGGATGGTTACTGGGCATGTGGATAGCTACTGGGCATGTGTGGTAATTACTGGGCAGGTGTGGATGGTAACTGGGCACTGGGCTGGGCATGTGTGGATGGTTACTGGGCATGTGGATGGCTACTGGGCATGTGTGGATGGTTGCTGGGCATGTGCGGATGGTTACTAGGCATGTGTGGATGGTTACTGGGCATGTGGATAGCTACTGGGCATGCGTGGTAATTACTGGGCAGGTGTGGATGGTTACTGGGCATGTGGATGGCTACTGGGCATGTGTGGGTGGTTGCTGGGCATGTGTGGGTGGTTACTGATGTGATGGTTACTGGGCATGTGCGGATGGTTGGGCATGTGTGGATGGTTACTGGGCATGTGTGAATGGTAATTGGGCATGTGTGGATGGTTGCTGGGTATGTGTATGTGTGTGGATGGTTACTGGGCATGTGGATGGTAATTGGGCATGTGTGATGGCTGGGCATGTGTGAATGGTAGTGGGCATGTGTGAATGGTAATTGGGCATGTGTGATGGTTGCTGGGTATGTGTGGATGGTTACTGGGCATGTGTGATGGTTGCTGGGTATGTGTGGATGGTAATTGGGCATGTGTGGCTGGTTACTGGGCATGTGTGATGGTTGCTGGGTATGTGTGAATGGTAATTGGGTATGTGTGGATGGTTACTGGGTATGTGTGAATGGTGGTGGGCATGTGTGGATGGTTGCTGGGTATGTGTGCTGGTTACTGGGCATGTGTGATGGTTACTGGGTATGTGTGAATGGTAATTGGGCATGTGTGGTTGCTGGGTATGTGTGGGGGCATGTGTGATGGTTGCTGGGTATGTGTGGCTGGTTACTGGGCATGTGATGGTTGCTGGGTATGTGTGTGGCTGGTTACTGGGCATGTGTGATGGTTGCTGGGTATGTGTGGATGGTTGGGCATGTGTGATGGTTGCTGGGTATGTGTGGATGGTTACTGGGCATGTCGGATGGTTACATGTGGGATGGTTACTGGGCATGTGTGGATGGTTGCTGGGTATGTGTGGATGGTAATGGGCATGTGTGGATGGTTACTGGGCATGTGTGGATGGTTGCTGGGTATGTGTGAATGGTAATTGGGCATGTGTGGGGTTGGGTATGTGTGGGTGTGGTGGGCATGTGTGGCTGGTTACTGGGCATGTGTGATGGTTGCTGGGTATGTGTGGATGGTGGTGGGCATGTGTGATGGTTGCTGGGTATGTGTGGATGGTTTACTGGTTATGTGTGAATGGTGTGGGCATGTGTGGTTGCTGGGTATGTGTGGATGGTGGTGGGCATGTGTGGCTGGTTACTGGGCATGTGTGATGGTTGCTGGGTATGTGTGGATGGTATTGGGCATGTGTGATGGTTGCTGGCATGATGTGTGATGGTTGCTGGGTATGGGGGTATTGGGCATGTGTGCTGGGTAAATGGTATTTGGGCATGTGTGATGGTTGCTGGGTATGTGTGGATGGTATTTGGGCATATGTGAATGGTAATTGGGCATGTGTGGCTGGTTACTGGGCATGTGTGATGGTTGCTGGGTATGTGTGGATGGTAATTGGGCATGTGTGATGGTTACTGGGCATGTGTGATGGTTGCTGGGTATGTGTGGATGGTAATTGGGCATGTGTGGCTGGTTACTGGGCATGTGTGATGGTTGCTGGGCATGTGTGGATGGTAATTGGGCATGTGTGATTTTTGCTGGGTATGTGTGGATGGTTACTGGGCATGTGTGATGGTTGCTGGGTATGTGTGGATGGTAATTGGGCATGTGTGGCTGGTTACTGGGCATGTGTGATGGTTGCTGGGCATGTGTGGATGGTAATTGGGCATGTGTGATTTTTGCTGGGTATGTGTGGATGGTTACTGGGCATGTGTGATGGTTGCTGGGTATGTGTGGATGGTAATTGGGCATGTGTGGCTGGTTACTGGGCATGTGTGATGGTTGCTGGGTATGTGTGAATGGTAATTGGGTATGTGCCGATGGTTACTGGGCATGTGTGAATGGTCACTGTCTTATTCTCAAACTTATTAAACCATCTCCGGTAATCCTAGTAATCTCAACCATAGCCTTAATCTTGGCGCCCCAGCCCAGCCAAACCATACCTTATTAGACCAACATTGTTCCACGTCAAGGTTAAATCGAGGCCAAAATTCACTCTTTTGGTTATTGTGAACGATGCTTTTCATTCTAAACTTTGTTACAGTAAAATAAATAACTTTAATACAAAAATAATCTGAATAAATTAAATTTATATTCCAATTGTTCTTATGTAAATGAGTAACATGACCATGAAATAGGTACCAAATGTTGCAAAGTGGATGAATTTTGGCGGCAACTCAACACAACTACCGAGTGTATAACTCGCGTACGGCTGAGTATCTGCCAGCAGTGAGCTGTTAACTGGGTACCGACCTTCTGACCGGCTAATATGCTAATCGCTGACTTAGGAAGATACCCGTAACCGTAAATTGAATAAACTCATGGTAGCTGTTGTGACCGACCGAAGTATAGTACAGGGAGAATTATCAACAAAAATGGCTTTCCAGGTAGAAGTGTCACTGTTTTTAACAATATCCTCTTTGTTGATTTATTGTACCAGGACTTATGACAACAAAACTTTTCCACTTAGAAAGTTGGTTTTAAAAATATGGTATCAGATCCGAGTCTATCTTTTTTTTATTATTTTTTTCTGCTAGAGTCCGTATGCAGAATCGCCATTTAATGACAGTAAACATTGTGTATTCTGATGCATCCTCAGCTTCACTGCGTGTTGCCCTTATCACTAAAATCGGCCCTTTATGTTTGGTAGTCGTATTCTGTACAGTAATTCGTATACATTGTCATATTCGGCTTTCTAACATAAAATGAGCTCTTTGACCCACTTATTTTAGGATATTCCCCATGGCTAGAGGAATTTTCTACGTATTAAAAGATGGACAATATACTGTATATACTAGCATATCCCTGGATATATTTATCATGGCAGATATATTTTTATATATTATTTTTTGAGGTCTTGTAATTTAGGTTTTAATTTACATTCAGTGGCAAGTAACCGAGGGAAAAATATTGCAGTTACACTTCAGATTATACCCATTTTCTTTCATCAGCTGGTCTGGCTGAGCGTAACACAAACTGTGAGAGGACATGATATTCTCTGTTTGTGAGGACATGATATTCTCTGTATCATCAGTATGACACAAACATGATAATCATCTGGTACTGTACGAGAGGCTGGAAAATAAAATATGTAAGATGAAAGAAACTACAAAAAAATATAACATTACATAGGAAATGTTAGCTTCAAATTCTTTGTGTTTTATCTGTACCGACTTATAGTGTATATTGCTTTCAGTCGCTACAGTCCTTTAATTGATAATCCACGAAATGGCTATTGGGGGCGGGGGAGGGGGGGGGGTCGGATGATGACGTCATGAGCATTAATATAATTTGACACATCTAACTTGGGTTATGTGTATATTTTTTCTTGCTTAATCTTAGACATTCTCTATCTGTATATTTCTTTCTTTTTATCAATTCGGGTGTTTGGGTAACAGAAATAGATCAAGGGTAGAGTTATTGTTGGTTACCCAGTTCGTATGAGAATTCGTAACAAGGTTTTTCTATTACACACGAATTACGATTACCGAGATACGTGACATTACTATAATATTTTTATTGCTGTCCATTAGTGCTTCTTTATATTTTTTTCAGGAATCAAAGGAAATGTTTTTTTTATTGTATTTTATTTATTTATTTATTTTTTTTATTTTTTTGTTTTAACTATTACCACCACTACCAAACACAGACGCTGCTCTCAATGTTGCCATGCAAGTGAGTGAGGAAAACTGAGGCAGTAGAAACGTGTACGTACTGATGACTGAAGGTGCATGTGTGGAGTGGGTTGTGTGATAATGGATTTATTGTGATTTAAAAACTTAAATCTTTAAGCTTGTATTCCAGGTTTTCGTAAATACATCTTATCGTCAACAGATATTAAGACACCCATCTCTCTAGTTTACAGCGAGGAGAGCAGTGGGACGTGCTGAGAGAAACCTTACCAGAAAAAGGTACTTGAAGAAAACTTGTTCAATATTACGACGTGTAGATAGAAAGATATACAGATAGACGTATAGAAAGATATATAGATATACCCTGTATAAAGATATAAATGTAGTTAGAAATATATATAATAGATATTTTCTCAACAAAAGCGTCATACAGATTGAAATTAGTTCATCTAGTAACACACTACATAGGTACACGATATACGAACAGTAACTCATTTAACAAAAGATAACCCCAAGGAAGCCGTAATAATGATGCATAAATTCTGTTCGTGATTATTTTTATACATAAGATTCGTTATCGCTGGAAAGTTATTTGTGAAGTACAGTACTCGGTTGATACGTGATAAAATATAAACTATCATCCGTATGAATTACACTCTTTGGTTGGCGAGTTATTGTTATTTAATACTGTAAATTATTTTTTTTTTTACAATACGCAAGTGGTTGTCAACTTTCCAACCAGTGGTCCGCGCCATCTTCTATGTGAGCAAGGGTACCAACCTACACGCGTCACGGCACTCCCTCAGCCTGGGCACGGCTGGCCTTAGCGGGCAGGGATAAAGGTGTTCTCTAAGCGTGTGTATCTACCTCCCTCACTGACATCCCTTACCCTTATCTTTCACACTTCGGGAAACGACAGAAAATATTAAATTGGAGCTTCATGCTACTAAAAAATATTTTGTATACTTTTTTTTTAATAGTTTTTCGAATTTAGACACATTAGCATTATAATAAAAGTTACTTACCTTGGCCAGCGTAGTTTCATATGACAGTAACAAAATAATCAACGTCGGTAAAACTTTGATTTGGTGGGTGGGCCCTCGCCCCGCCATCTTGGTAAATTTAGTGGTCAGCACAATTCAGTGTAGGTGATGTGTGGCCATAACAGAGACATGAAGCGACGTAGCCCTCCTCTGCCCCTCACTGCACGACTGATGCCTCGCGTCGCCAAGGAGCCCTCCCTCCTTCACCCTCCCTGAGTGCCCACCTCACATTTTTCATCACTTTTAGACTCATATCTCCTTATTTATAACACTAAACATCCTACCAAATGGTCTAATCTTCACGTATAAACATGTCTGACGTGGATACGAGACCTATAATCAGTAAAAAGAGAAATACTAATAATATGAGAAATAGTAGTTGGCAGCTGCAAGAGACTGGGAGCTGGGGTGTGATGGCGGGCAGTGGGTGGGAATTTGGGTATCCAGAGTGGCAGGAGCACTGGTAGGGTCTGTATGTCCCGTGGTCTTCTGGGCACGGGTGACTAGTGAATCTCGCGTCTCGCTGCCCGTGTTCATTCCTCTGGCGGCAGTTGTCTTATAGCATGGTGGTGGTGTAAACATGGGTGCTTGTACTGGAGGAGCCATGGAGAGGATACCTGCCCTTCCTCCTACTCTAAGGGGCTCTTGGCTGTAAGTACAAATTTGGATTTTAATAGCGTAAAAATCACAGAAAATGTCATTTGAATGTATAGTTGTTCATAGTTATTGTTCAGAACGCTGGTAATAGATAGAACTGAACACCTTGGAGTATTTTTCCTCTGGGTGATTTAAATGTTATTATAACTTTGCTCTACCTATTAGAAATTAATATATATTTTTTTAAACATGCATTTGCAGGCAGATTGTGGGAATGTGTTAAGAATATGCCCTTTTTCAACTTACAGGTGTGTTACTGTGCTGTTATTTAGCGTACTCCACACTGCAGAATCGGTAAGTACAGAATTTGGCATGTTTGGAACAAGTCAGGATTACCAACATTACCGCGTGTGTAGGGTATCATGCGTAATTCATTTCTTGTACATGATACTAATATTTTCTTGTGTGAATGATAGATTGTAATGTCAGTTTAATAGACAAGACGTTAGTTTTGAATATTATTACATAGAAACATCAGTGAAGTGATTGTGTTAGGATATGGTACTTTATACATACATACATACATACATACATACATACATACATACATACATACATATATACATAAAAAAGTATATACTAAGTTATTGTGTACGTTATGAGAAAAGTAAAATATGCTATTGTGTGACCTCTCTTCGATGCCCAAAATGTGTCCGGTAGTGTGCAAGACTCGCAGATTCTTATATTGAATTCAAAATGGCTTCAAAAGTGCACTGAGCCTCTACCTGTTATACTTTGTTACGTGAAGGTAATAAGGAAATACATTATAAAATTTAAAAGAAACGCGTTTGAGAATCCATGTCATGAATTCGGATTCCTAAATGACTCTTCCTTATAATCCTCTTCTGTGAGTGAAGGGAAAGTACCAATGTAATTATGATAATATTGCGACCTTTATACAATGTTTGTGTTGTATTTTAAGCAAGTGTTAGATGTGTTCTTGAGATGATGCAATGAGAGATATTTTTTAACTTCCCGGTAACACAATACGTATATAACAACATGTATATAGAGCACAGGGTTGTAATGGTAAATTTTGAGTCATGTTATAATGAATTACTACGCATCAATAACTCTTAATATTTTATAAGCACGTTATTGTAGGTTTGTAAATACATCACTTATCAACATTCGAGGATTGATGTAAGTCGGTTGAAACAGATATAGACATTGACGCTTAGATGTATATGATTGATGTTATATAAATCTGTCACTTTATCATTGTTCTGAGTTTATATTAATTGTTTTCTAGTTAATTAGTGCATAAAATAATAATAGGAGAATATTTTAGTGAAGCGAGTGTCTGTCTGTTCTTTCAAGACCTTAACCCTTTGAGTACGATGATTGCCATGTCTTCGTACTTAGGTGATTAATATTACCACACTCAGATTACATGAAGATTAGGCATCCCAGCTTATTTCACCTGTGCTTAAATATCTTAACGTTACCTGGGGGGTTACGTTAAGTTAAGTTAGATTAAGGTGGCGTTACGTTAAGTTAGGTTAGTTTAGGTAAGTTAGGTTAATGTTAGATTAGGTTAAGTTAGGTTAGGAGGTTGTTAGGTCAGGTTAGGTTTGGGTAAGTTAGGTCAATGTTAGGTTAGGTTAGCGTCAGGTTTGGTTATGAGGTTGTTATGTTAATTTTAGGTTAGTGTTAGATTTGGTTAAGTTAGGTTAGGAGGTTGTTAGGTCAGGTTAGGTTTGGGTAAGTTAGGTTAATGTTAGGTTAGGTTAGCGTCAGGTTTGGTTATGAGGTTGTTATGTTAATTTTAGGTTAGTGTTAGATTTGGTTAAGTTAGGTTAGGAGGTTGTTAGGTCAGGTTAGGTTTGGGTAAGTTAGGTTAATGTTAGGTTAGATTAGGTTAATTTAAGTTGGGTATCAAGATAAAATAAGCTCGGGCGGTTAATTTTCCTGCAAACCTCAACTAGCTAGACGAGCCCTGTTACCCAGGCTGTGATTGGCCAGAGCGCGTGACGTAATGTTTCCAAAGCTTGACGTAATATTTCTAAAAATATACAGGATTTTCAGCGGGAGTTGGACAAGGGGCGCCACACAACAGGAATTAACTTAATCTGATCTACCATTCCTTAGGTTAGATTAGCTTTGGTGAGGTTAGGTTATCTTTAAGTTAAGTTTTCTGTAATTAGATTGGTAATGTTAGGTCTCTCTCTCTCTCTCTCAGACAGACAATTTCTTCCTTACTATTTTATTATGTATTTTGCCAACGGATATCAAGTATTTAGGGATAAAGATGGTGAAGAAAGATAGTGAAAGGATGGGTAATAAAGATACTGAGAGAACATGGTAATAAAGATAGTGAGATAGATTTTTTTCTTCTCACTATATTACGTGTAAATTCAGGTTGTTATTTGTAAGGCATTGAAATCTTCTGTAAGTCTCTCTCTCTCTCTCTCTCTCTCTCTCTCTCTGTGTGTGGTTTGAAAATGATGGGCATAAGAGAGAGAGAGAGAGATAATCGAAGCTACATACAACGTAGCCCAGAAAGGTAAACAAACTTTATACAGTACATCGCTGGCCAATGACCGAGGGAGAGCAGCGACTTGAGCCTCCTCCTCCCATCCCTTCCTCCTCGAATACGTCTTTCACTGTCGACCTCAGACCTCACCAGCCCTCAGCCCCCTCCCCGCCCCACCCCTCAGCCCCACCCCACCCCGCCCCTCAGCCCCGCCCCAGCCCCGCCTCTCAGTCCCGCCCCAGAACACACTGTCTGGTTGTTTCGCTGTGGTTAAGTGTGGTAAGTGGTAACCTTCTTCTACCTCCTATGGTTGACCCTAGACAACCAGCTCTTTGTATCAGCTACGGGAGGTCGGTGATGGGTGGGTGTGGTAGTTATGATGGCGGGCCAACCTGTGGTGTAATGGTCACCATGCTTACTTCGTAAGCTAGCGGACTCGGGTTCGATCCCCGGGCCGGGTGAACTATGGGCAAGTTTCTTTACGCCATTTGCCTCTGTCTACCCAGCAGTAATTGCGAACCTGGATGTTAATAGATTTGCGGATCGTATTCCGGGGTAATGGTTAGCCAGTGCAGTTGGTGAGTTGTCCGGTCTCCTCGGACTATTCATTGACACTGGGTCATGCAGCTCGTTAACTTAGGGTGTGGTTGTTGCGTTGGCGACAGCTTCTACACCTTAAACAAATTCACGCCTAGGTGGCCGGCCATCCTCGTTACACGAGGGGTCACCATTTATGTATGAATGAATGTACTAATCTATCTATAACGAGTATTTTTTTTCGTCTATTCGCGTCTATAAACATTTTTGTTGTATTAATTAATTTATATCATTATGTTTATTTATGAAAATAAAATAAAATTTTCTCGGTTTTTTATGAAAAAAATTGTCTAGTTTATTATTATTAAATTATTATGTATTTAGGATTTTTATGTTTGTGCTTAACTTTGTTATATATGTTTAAGCTGGGATTTTATGTTAAAGCTTGGGTTTTGTTTTTAATATGTTTACATCTTAAGAATGTTTAAACTAAAGCTGATTTGTTCCTACTAATTTATAATGACAAGATATTTAATGAAGACTGCCTGGGTTGTGTTAAGGTTCACGAGGTGTGTGTGTGTGAACGACGTGCTTGTGTGGAGATGTGGCAGGTCAGCGTTTGTTTATACTGGGTAGATTTGACACCGCTGCCTCTGTGTACAGATTAGATGTGTGTACGTGACGTTGTTAGTCTCCTAGCTTAACGGGTTTGTATTGTACCTGTATTATAAACAAGCTAATTTTACTTGATTAAATTCTCTAACGATCTATGGGGGGGGGTAGGTTAGGTTAGGTTAGGTTAGATTAGATTAGATTAGATTAGATTAGATTAGGTTGGTTTAGGTAAATGTTAGGTTAGTGTTAAGTTGGGATGGGTTTGCGTTAGGTTGGGCTTGGGACTATTAACTTCTAACCATTCTCCAGCCTCTATTCGAGCCAGTCTTCTCCATGTTTTCCATCGCCTTACCTTCCTTTTTCTTACTTTTTCCTACCATCTTTCATCCATCGTCCAACTTCCTTCAATCTTTCTTCCATCTTCCATCCACCTTCCATCTTGGTTCCCTCCCCCTCACCACCCACCCAGCCAGCCATCCTCTCCATTTCTTGCCTTGGTATCTCTTTACACTGCATCTACGTAGGTTTGTATATGTCATAGGTTAAACGCATTTAGTATTGTAGCCTCCATGACATGACGAATGTGGTGTATATATGTCAAAACATAAGTGATAGAAGACAGACGTAACACGAACACAAAACAGACATAACACAAAGCCATATGTGCGATTGTCAGGGTTTTTTTTCATGGTATGCACATGTTACGTCACTTATAGTTAACGAAACAGTCGTCTTGGGTTTACTCTAAGTCTAAGACGATCTTATAGTATGACTATTTTATGTTTTTTTTTATCTGGACGTAAATGTTTCGTCACTTATACTTAACAGAATAATCTTCATTTTATCCTGAAGTTATGTTGCGTCACTTATACTTGACGAACCAATCCTTTTTGAGGCGATTTTCTAGTGTTACTGTCTTATGTTTTTGTTTTCTCTGAATGTTTTTGTCATTTATATACTTAACAGACCAATCATCTTTGAGGCGATCTTCTGGTGTGACTGTCTTATGTTTTTGTTTTCTCTGAACGTTTTTGTCATTTATATACTTAACAGACCAATCATCTTTGAGGCGATCTTCTGGTGTGACTGTCTTATGTTTTTGTTTTCTCCGAATGTTTTTGTCATTTATATACTTAACAGACCAATCATCTTCATTTTATCCTGAAGTGATATTACGTCACTTATACTTCACGAACCAATCATCTTTAACCTTTCCCCGCCACACCAACCCAGTACACATCCTCCCTCCTGCACCACAAGTGTCCAGCACATGACGACCTTTACACACTACCACATGGTTTTATTTAAGTCTTAGTTTATGGGTTGGTGAATGCACTCGTTTGTTTTATTTGGCCACGGTTTAAGAGGGCAAGATCCAGAGTGCATTTACCTTGTATTTTAAACCATCATGAGTTGTTCCCTGCAATATTCTCTCTCTCTCTCTCTCTCTCTCTCTCTCTCTCTCTCTCTCTCTCTCTCTCTCTCAACGATACAGTGGCAATTAATTTCTCTACTGATAGTTGTATATAAATTTAGGATCACATGAAGTTTAGGCACCCTTCCTCCCGCTTCTCCTCCCTACCCCCTCAACCACGCTCTGACCTCTTTCCTCACGCTCTCCTCTTGTTCCCTCACGCTCTTCTCCCTTCCCTCAGCCACGCCTTGCCCTTCTCCCCCCCCCCCAGTCTCTCTTCCTCCCGCTCCCCTCTTCCCCTCAGCCACGCCCCGTAAGTAACAAAATGGCGTCAGAATTACACCATGACTCTACCGTAACAAGATGGCGTCATGTTACTTGGTATGTGAGGGTTTATTTACGTTTAGTAGAGTCTCAGTGTGATATTGACGCCATTTTTAAAGGGTTCGTTATGGTTGCGTGATTTTTTTTTTAATATGTATTTTGTTGGAGATTTGAAACACGATGGTTCCTATGTATGAATCATGTCTGGTACGTGTGTGTGTGTGTGTGTGTGTGTGTGTGTGTGTGTGTGTATATTGATGTGTTTGTTTTATTTCCGGGTGAGTATTGGAAGGAGAAATACAATGGGATTCTGAACTACTTGGGAGAGAGAGAGAGAGAGAGAGAGAGAGAGAGAGAGAGAGGTATTTTAAGTAGTTGTAGATCGCGGGTTGATGGCTCAAGGCCGAGGAAGAGCCAGCGAAGACAGCCCGTTCTTTGTAGCCTCAGCTCTGCCCCGTCAGCCACGCCTGCCAACACCACTCGACCTCTCCTCACCTCTCCTCACCCTCGACTCCTCCTTCTGTTCCATTGATTCAGAGATAAACACTTAGCATAGATGATGGTACAGACAGGTGGTAAGACAGGTACAGATATAATTACAGGTTCAGGTACATATTACAGGTACAGATAAACATTGATGTATAAGTATAGAGACATATATGAACTTACGTACAAGTAGAGACATATACAAACAGAACTTACACACTGGACAAAACTTACACACTGGACAGAACTTACACACTGGACAAAACTTACACACTGGACAAAACTTATACACTGGACAGAACTTACACACTGGACAAAACTTACACACTGGACAAAACTTACATACTGGACAAAACTTACACACTGGACAAAACTTACACACTGGACAAAACTTACACACTGGACAAAACTTACACACTGGACAGGACTTATAAATAGGACTGGTGTTTAGTGATTAATAGTTTACAAGGAATATGAACTAAAAATACCTCGCTTTATCTTAACATGACCTTAATAAACACAGATAGACTTTTATATGCTGTACATTAGGTAAAGACGGAATTAACATGAAGAGATACAGAGGAATGGTATATGTACAGTACGGATACTTACAAACATAATGGGGCTTGTCTGGTCTCCCCGCTCACCATTTCTTAAAACAAGTGAAGAATGTGGGAGGGAACTGTGTGTGTGTGTGTGTGTGGCGTCGCTCGGAGGCCTTCACATGTGGGTATATACTGTATGTGTGTTTGTGTCATGGTGTTTGTTTGGGCTGT